CGCCTAAGGCCTCGCAAACTCTAGAGCCGCCTCTGTGGACATGCCACTCATGGTATTGACGAGTTCAGCTATCTGACGAGGATTGTCCGCAGTGAGTATATCTGCTTATACAGGCCAGGCATAGAGGTCTCAGCAAGGGATATATTTCGCTATCACAACGATCGGAGTCAGAATAAATACCTATAATGTGTGGGACTGGCAAAGCAAAGGTTCCATGCACAGCCAAAAAAAAAAACTTTGGAAAAAGATATGAGCAGCTGCTTCCAGGGCAGGAGTGGTGGTGGTTCAAGGGCAGAAGGCTCATCTTGGAGGAGTCTGGTAACTTTCCCTAAGTTACACTTCCTGTAACTTAGAGCACCTGTGTCACGTGGGCCTCCAGAGTAGGGGCTACCCCAGCTCCCTGAACCATGTCGATATTGAAGCCTTGAAAGTAAAGTGTAAATTAATGCCTGTCAAAGCAAGCAGGAGTTTAAAATGGGAACCAGTTGGATGAGGGAATCCTGAGGATATTGCCCTTGCAATTCTGTTGGCCTTTGCGACTAGAGAACTGGCTTAACATCTCCAGTCCCCAGGGAGGAACTCTTCAGTCACCTTTTTCTTTTTTTACAAGCATTATACCCACAAATCTTTTATGGGTGTTACGATGTGTATAATACTACAGCAGTCACACAAAGTAGGAAAAAAAAATGGGGCGCAATAAAGTGTTTATTAACATGAACCATTGTACTCCGTTAATGAGATCAGCAATACAATTACATTTAACATACCCTCCATTTTGAGACATGTACAGTTTACAAACAGAGAAAAGACACGATAAAATATAAAATACTCTGAAAAATTCTGCTAAAGCTGAAGATCCATTTCTAGTGAACAGTTATGTTGATTAGCAAAGTATTCCACCAGGCGTCTAGTGGTGGCTGTCATCTCTTCATCTAGGTATTGGGTAACCACACTGGCAAACTTGCGCTGCCAAATGGAAACGGAATTAAACATTTGTTAGGCATACAATTCTAAATCAAAAGGCCCCTAAAACGAAATAGAGTTTATTTTGTGCAAACAATCAGTCACAGATCAGCAGACATGTTCACAAAAATGTCACATGTAGCATGAATGCTCGAATGAGATTTCACCATTTTTTAGACAGTCATGTACATATTCTGCACATGTAGTTTCTCAACCTTTCTATACCAGACCCTTACATCAGAG